AGCCCTTTTTCAAGTTGTCAAGGTCCGGCTCTGATACCAATTATTGGGGCTTAAAGACTTTGTTTAAGTCTAAAATTAATACAGAATTAATAGGAGCTTGTTGCCCCAGCAGAAGAAGATCCGATACAAGAAAAAAACCAGCATAACAGATGATAACTAGCAGGAAAAATAAACCAGCATGAGAGAAAAATGAAGAACATATTTTGAATATGAAGAATATCTTCCTCAACCTTGATTTATCCACAAGATATTATATGATTTACTATCTGAAATCATCAGAAAGAATTTCCACAGATTTACAAGAGTTTACTACTCTATCTCATCTCACTTTCTCGATTTTCGAGTTACCCCTTTTACCACTCCTAATGTAGGTATTTATAGACACAATGAGGTATCAAAAATGGTTATTAACTACCTAACTAACTAAGGCTCCATATAGTTGAAGATTCCAACCGAAATCAGTTGCAAAAACAGTTGGAATAAAGACTCCAATTCAACAGATTTCTGATTGATCTAGTTTGCTGAATTCTACCTTAAAGAATCATGTTTTAAAACCTCAAATTAGATCTTGATCGATCTTTTCCTCCACCGTGTCTGCAATTCAGCACTCTTTTGAAATTGATCGCGGTTATGGTTCCCTCATCTTTATATATTGAATTATAATCTAGTGTCAGCCGAGACAGAAATCAGCCGCGGTGCCATGTTGGGACTTGTTACAGCAGGGATTGCCATTGGGTCTTTTGTTCAAGCCATGCTCGCTGAAGCCAAGTCCATCAAGGTTGGAGGACCACCTTCACCCTCCGGTGGATTGTGTAAGTATCATATTCTCTTCCAGTATTTGACACAAGATTATAATTCAATATGCAAGGAGTGGTAACTCATGGATTCTAGTACTCGATTCTTGCGAATAATACCATTTTTCCAAGAACAAATGAGCTTTTGAATAGACCTTGAAGCGAAGCTTTTGAGGTGTTGAGATTTTAGCCATATTGCATCGTTGTGGGAGGGGGGGTCTCAACTTCTCAGCTTCATTTTAAAGAAATTGAATTAATTATTTTTGGGGTTGATTATAATTTAGTTTAACTATCTTGAGTTGTTTTGATAAAGGGTGGCTCAAATTCTCCATATTCATTCGAATCACTTGTGTATTTATTTTACTGCATCAATTACTTATCCTACTTGGTAATTCTGTATCTCGACAGCTGGAACTTTGAACTCGGATCAGCTAAGAGACCTTGATTTGCCTCTCAAGTCTAGGTTTTTCCTTCAACTATTGCCACCAGCTCAGGCGACATTGAGGACAAAGGAATCTGCCAAAGACATTTTCAAATTGAAGGCACTAATAGACAAGAAGGCATAGCCTTATGTCCAAAATGACCTACGCTCAAAGGTAGAGTACCTCCGTTATGACATCATTACTGTGATTGCTGCCAAGCCAAAAGACGAGAAGAAAGCCCTTAAAGAGCTCACAGGAAAACTCTTCCAGGGCATTGGCAATGTGAGCCCCTATTAATTCCTTTTTCCTTTTAAACTTTTTGAATGACATGCTTAAGACACCGTTTGTTTTCCATTATTCCAAAATATTGTTTGCTACAGTAAGATTCTTCACCACACATTCACCCAATAAAATATTCTACACACAAACCAATGAAGTTACTTTAAATTTTAACCACATTCTCCAAAAAATATTATTCATTACTCCATTTCTTCTACAATAATGGGAGACAAACACACACTAAATCTAGATTTTGACAAAATTGTGTTCATTCTTATCAGCTGGATTATGCAGAAAAGATCAAGAGCAGCCCACAAGCAGAAAAGTACTATGCTAAAACTGTTTCTACTCTGAACAATGTTATTGCCAAGCTTGGTTAGATAGAAGTATGCACAATGTGTAAAATTTCTTTTTTTGAGTGAATGGAGTATTTTGTTTTATGTAATTTTCCAGAACTAATTCTCCCAAATATTCAACAATCTGAAAAATGCCCACCTGAAAGCAAATAAACAACAGTGAAAATTCCCTGGATAAGGCCATCAAACTAATTTTAGGCCAATCCCCGATAGGGTTGGGGGCACATCATTTATTATCAGAGTTAGCCATTAGAGTCACTGATGAGTTGGAAAGTTTCCCTTTCAAGCGTGGAAGGCAATGGACAATGGACATTAGCTAAGTTTTGATAGAGGATAGTAATTGACTTGTTATTGTTTGCACACAATTTGAAGCCTCATTAAGGTTTTGAAAGGCAACCGACTCAAAATTTTAGTAGCGATTTTAGGAGGAAGGTACAATTCGGCAGCAAGCTGCAGTGCTGAACTATCTATCTTCTCGATTAATTTATCTTTCGTGTTCCTGTTTCCGTCAAGGCTTGCAATATTTGCTCCTCTTTGGGAATCAAGTTTCCCAAGCACTCTCAAGTGATAAATCTTCATAAAAGGGTACAAAATAAGCATATGTTATAGTAGATTGCATCCAGGGTAATGATATTGTGGAGAAAATGCGAACAAAATTCTCACTTGATCACAATATGACGATTGAATCATAAGCATCAAATGCTTTCAAATATATTCACATAATCATATAAAATCATGATTCAAGAAATTAACGTGCAAAATCTTGAAATAATAAAAGAAAAAAGAGTGAAATATTTCCATTACCCGGAAAGAACAATCCGTGCACAAATGTTTCTGGCATCAATGATGCTATAAGTACAGTTTTTTTTAATGGAAAATTATGGCAAATAACACTTGTCGTGACACCATTGGAAGATGGAAAAAGAAGGCCAATCAAGTTTGGCTACGTCAGCGTCGATATCAATTCTGTACTTGGAGCTTTATTGTTCTGTCATATACCTTTAACTATCGTGAAAAATATAATTCTTTTTCTTATGGTATCCCTTATGTTTGGGCTTATCCGATGTGATCATTCACAGTGAGGACTTCATAAACCCTTGTTTGAGCCCCATATTTTCTATCAAAATGCATTTTTGAATAGTGGTTTAATTTCATTACAACCACACATTATTCAATAAAATAATATTACATGCAAATTCAATTTTTTTTTTATTTTTAACAACATATTCTCCCTCGTAACACTATTGGAAAATGTTTTTTTTTTTTTTTGGCAAAAGAGGGGCTCAAACAAGCTTTAAATATAAAGATGACGTTTCTTTTAGAAAGTCATAGTTGTAGGAGACTCTTTATTGTAATTATTTAAAATAGAGGGAGGATTTGGCTCCATTTTGACTTTATGAATTATTATATATTAACAAGTTATATTAATAAGTTACATATTTTAATTGACTATTAATATATAAAAATATGTTAAATAACATATAATGAGAAATTAATAAATATTTACTGAGCAAATCAAATGGATAGATAAAAATAGATAGAATTTTTGGTGTATAAAAAAGACTTTTATGTTTTAAAAAGTATCTTGGTCGTATTAAAAAGCATCTTTAAATTTAAAAAATAATTTTTTTTACACACTCCAATAATTTTGCACTCATGTTCCATTTTTTTTTTTGTCGCATTCTTATTTTTAATTTTCAATTAACTTAGCACATGTTGTCTTTGATGATATTTTTTTGCCCAAATATTCTTTTAACGACATAAATAATTTTCAAATTTAAGATCTATAATTTAATAAAAAGTTAAGAATGAAAATACTACGAAAAAGTTGAGAACATAAGTATGAAAAGAAGAAAAGACTAAAAGCATTTATTACAACTGAGATGTGTTATAAGCTTAGCACAAATATTGTGCTAATATAGTTACCTTTTTCAAGATCGGATATCAAAAGCCCCAATACAATTTTGTAAAAAATTAAATTTTTAATAAATTTTGATAAATATTGATGATATGTATATGTAAAAAATATAAAAGTTATGAATTCTATAAAATATATGATTAAGCATTAAGAATATTACTGTTTAGCACAAATGATGTTAAAGTACCAAATAAATCCTAATAAGTTCTGTTGGTGATGATTAAAATCAGATTTTAATAGATTTTGACAAAAATTGATATAATGTATGGTTGAAAAGTTTTAGGTCCTATAAAGTCAATTTTGATTTTGATTTAAATTTTAATTTTCATCAAGCATAGACTAAATGAGCCATAAATCTTTATATTTAATTAAATCTATAATTCAATAATACAAGTGATGCCATCTAAATTGGTGTTACAATTTTAAGAATTCAATCATAATTGCATAACCTATAAATTACATTAGATTTTTGGAATTATATAAATATTAAACATAATCTATATCGTTCATCTTAACACCAAATTATTTAACCAATGATCATTGAGAAAACAAATAATAAAAAGATGAAAATTTACCGAGTTCAATATAAAGAACTATGAAAAGAATCCTAACAATTGTTGTTATCTGACCCAATTTTCAATGATGATGTTGAATAGTATCACTCTAAAATTAATTATTGATTTTAATTTAAATTTTTATCAATTTTTTTAACGTTATCAAACAAATTTAATACTAAATTATGTTTGGTGGAGATTAAAATCAAATTTTTAATAGATTTTAATAAAAATTGATGATACGTGCGGTTGAAAAGTTGTTAATCCCATAAAATATGTTTTTTAAAAAATTGTTGACTTCTGGGGTGTTTGAATCCCATTATTAAGAAGAAAATTCATTTTATGATGTGATGTGATAAAAAATATGTGATTAAAAAATATGAAATTTTTTTGAATTTGCATAAAATATTATTTTATTGAAAAATATGTAATTAAAAATGAGTATCTAAAGAACTAATTTTGGAAAGAATGTGTCAAACAAGAGCTTGATTTAGAAAAAAATTTCGAAATTTAATTTTTACCAAATATGGGCTAGTTATTGACTATTTATTTATTTATTTATTTATTTAATCAATTTTTTAACTATATATATTAGACAAATATAGTGCAAAGTCGATCAAGATTCCGCACTATCGCTCTCTCTTTCTTTCTCAACCCTAAGTTCTGATTTCTGAAAAATGGCTAAAAATCGTGAACCTGAGAAACCTGTCGAATCGGAATCAGAATCAGGTGAGGATGATGATGAAGTTTCATCTGAAGAAGTCGGGTCTTCAGATTCGGATTCCGAACCTGAACAAACACTGGCGACAGCGCCGGCCCCTAGGAAACCCCTGCTGCCGCCTGCGTCTAAGCCCTCGTATTCTTACTCTTCATCCGAGGAGGAAGATGAAGAGTCTGGATCCGAACCGGAGTCCCACACCGAACCAGTCTACCCAAATGTGAAGCCCTTAGTCTCCAAGCCAATGGAAGATCCACAAAACCCCACTACTAGCGCTGCAGCTAGGAAGCCTAGATCCAAGTCGAACGCTTCCCGGAACAGCACGCCGACGAAGGCTACTGGTGTTGCTAAACGGCCCGCAGAGGAGAAAGAAGCTGAGGCTATGGACAACAAGAGGTCAAAGAAGCAACCTTCGCCCGACGCTGAGAGTTCAGGTAAAACTCCGAGCGTTCCTAATGATGATTCCAAAAAACAGTTGTTCCAGAGGCTGTGGAGCGAGGATGATGAAATTGTGGTTCTCAAAGGCATGATTGATTATGCCGCTAAGAAAAAATCCGACCCAGTTGCTGATTTGAATGGTTTTCATGATTTTATTAAGAAGAACCTGCATGTGGATGTGACTAGGACTCAGTTGCAAAACAAGATTAGGAGGCTGAAACAGAAGTACGAGAACAATAAGAGTAAAGAGAAGAAGGGTAAAGAGAGGACCTTCTCGAAGGCCCACGAGCAAAAAGCGTATGATTTGTCAAAAAAGATATGGGGCAGCGAGAACGACAATGAGATTGAGGGAGAGAAAGCAGTGGGGAGTCCAAAGGAGAATGGGACTGTTGTGAGGAAGACTGCGAGTAAGGGTGTTAATAAGGTTGAAAATAGCAATTCCAAGGAAGTGAAGAGTTTGGAGGTTGCGAATGCTGATGTGGAGATGATGGCAGGGAGTTTCAGTGCAGGGAGTCTCCGTGGTATGGGCATGAGGGACAGGATTTTGAGTGCTGGTGCAGAATTTTTCGAAGGAGAAAATAAGGTTGATGGGCATAAAGAGTGGATGAAGCTGCGAGTGGAGGAGGTTGAGCTTGAAGAGAAGAAGTATAACTTGATGTGGGCTCAGGCCAAGCTGGTTTTGAATGTTTTGAGGTCCTCAGATCGCTGAGTATGTGGACAGGTGCAGGGGTAAGTTCTTATTAATGCTGTGCTGGCTGGATAACTTGCCTGATCTTTGTTTCTGATTTAAGTGCAGTTAATTAGAATTCCTAGCTTATCTTCCTAGGTTACTGTGTATCTTATTTTTGTTTTGTTGAAACTCTCCAGCTTGCTCTGTATTATTAACATCTTTGATGTTGATCTTGGTGGATGGCCTATTTATGCTTTATATGATGTTGATCTTTGTGGATGGCCTATTTATGCTTTATATTATTTTGAAGTATTTTTGGCATTTTTTGCTTATCTGATATGTTCTGCATTCTTGATCTGCATATGTAGTCTCAATTGATTCTTGTGGAACTTTTTGGTACTTATGGACATCGAGCAGTGGCTATAATACTAATTATTAGAAGTATACAAACCTTTCCTGTTATGATATTACTTCATTTGTGATTTTCTTGGCCCGGGTCAAATCTTCTTGTTTTTGGCTTGACATTATTGGAGATAGATTGCTAATTGCTAAGAATGAGTTTTTATGAGACTAGTTAATAATTGATGACGAGAAAGTGGAAGACAATTTTTTGATGGGCCTCCTCTAGAGCCAACAACTGAAGCTATAAGTGAATATTGAACTTGTCAAATATAAGTATATTCAGGAAGGGTCTCATGATATACATGGTGTGCTGAAGGTGTGCTTTCTCAGTTAATGATATGAACAACAACTTAATGTACTTCCATTTTCATCTAAATGGCAAGGAGTTTGTATCCCTTGGCTATTATCTTTAATTGTTGAAATGGGGGACTCATAGTATTGAGGTAATGTCTAATGATTCCATCATCGAATATATTGATGTTTTTATTATTGATATGATCAACTTCTTAATGTACTTCCAATTTCATCTAAATGGCAAGGAGTTTGGGTCTTTTGGCTATTTTATCTTGATTGTGTTAGGAGTACATGTACAAATTGATCGTTGAAATTGTGGAATTCGGTGTATGAGGCAATGATGTTCTATTATGCCTGGAGCTCAACATCGTCCTCTTGCCTTCCCATTTTCAAGGTTTTTTTTTTGGTGTTTTTAATAGGTATATTTGTTCTATGACCTGCTTAAACATAGGGCTGGACATGAAAACCGAACTGAACTCGAGTTTTCGGGAATTTAGTAAGTAGAACCATCGGTCCAAATTTAATTGTGGAACAGTTCGAGTTAGGTTTCATTCGGTTCGATTCTATTCGATTCTTGAGTCGTATAATAATTTTTTTTTAAATATTTACAACAACACTATATTAATTTAACCAGGGAATGTTCAATCTCGGCCTTACAAAATAGCGTAGTCCAATTCTATGATATCTTTTGCGTTTCTCTTTGTTGAGTTTTTTATAGATTTGATTGTTAAAATCACAAGAAAAGAAAGATTGTTAGCTCACAATAATAGACGACAGAAACTACACTACGGTAGAATAAGAGATTTGAATAAAATTTAGGTTAATTTGATTAAGCTGGACTTGGTAAATCATATTTTGGATTTGGGTAAATTAATTAGTTAGCAAATTTATTTAGAAAAAAAAAAAATTTTTGGCTTATTTAATATTAAAAGCAAGGCAGATTCAGTTCTTATTCGATTCTTCGATTCTTGATTTTAGGCAGATTCAGTTCTTATTCAATCCTTGATATAAAATCAAGAATTGAACTAAACCCGTCGGTTCTCGATTCAGGTACCCGTTTGGGTATTCAATGTAGGAAGAACCATTGAGTTCGGTTTGGTTCGGATCCGGTCCGGGAGTTTTGTCTAACCCTACTTAAACATGTCTAGAGTAAGGTTAACGGTGCTAGAATTTTTTTTTTGGTGTTTCTATGTTGTCTTTCATTGCTTAATGGCTATTTTTATGTGTTCTTGGTTGATGTGCTGGTTGTTTCTTCACCCCCATTTTTTCATCCACCACTTGACCTTTCTATGAAAAGGATGGCGGATAAGTTTAATTTGGTTTTCTGATTGATGAGTTGCAGCGCATTTGATTTTGGGTAGTAATACAGCACATTTATAGTTTGATTAAACCTCACTTCATCTGAAGTGGCCTTCCGAGGAGTTGCAACGAGAAAGGGATGAAATCTTTATATTAAATTCTTCAAAACATTTCTGGCCACAGAGGCAGAAGATCACATAAACGAATTTGAAATCAGGAACCTTTTGGTCGATGAGTAGAGTGTAGTGGAAATGGTCAGGCCTCAGTTCCATGTTGATTTGGTTTGTTTTCGCTGCTTCCATGCGGACGCAGTTTCTCCTCTCTAATGAAAGCAGTAGCAGAAACATAATAGGCAACCGAAAAGAGTCCATGAATAAAACACAAAATTCCTCCAACATACAGTAGATGATGATGTGCTATTCCACAATCTTTTCTTGATTTCAAGTTTGACAATGTTCCAGAAATTAGCAATGTGAATGCAAAACCCAACATAATCCTGGTCCATAACAAGTGATGTCAATGTATGTGCACATTAAATGAAATTCTTTTGGAGGCATTATTATTAGAGAATAATCGAATTGCTTGACATAATGCAGAATAAAGTACCATGACAGTACGAGGGATGCAGAGGCAAGTTGCTTGTTAGGAGAAGCTTGATCCAGTTCTTCTTTAGATCTAATGAAAATGCACCCTCCCAGCGAATTCGCTATAACGTGTGTCGTTAACAAGAGTAGCACTGCAGCTATACCATGCTTGAAAGCTTGGTTGCCAGGGTCTCTACATTCAAAATTCCACGCTCTCAGATGGTTAACCTGTTAATGAAAACTATTAATGCGAGAAACAAAAGAAAAAGTAAGGATATGTTGTCTTTATTATTTTCAAGCCGTTTTCGATTTTTCAAAACAGTGAAAACGTGTTCTCTTTCCTATTTTCGAAAATGCGTTTTTGAAAACAAGTTAAAAATTTACAAAGAAAAGTCAGTTTGTCGTTTTGAGTGTTTTCAACTATAATCAAGTCAAAATTTTCAAAACGCTTTTTGGGTGTTTTAGAAACAACTTTTTAAAATGCCAAAAAGAATACATTTTCAACAATTTCAAAATGAACACTTAAAACGCAAAACTCAATGAATTCAAAACTCAAAACACAAAATTGAAGCATAAAGAGAACCGCCACTAAGTGTTTGTGCACACCTTTCTTGAAAGAAAAATACCTTGTTCTGATCAATTTCTCCTTGAATTCCAAGAATTCCTGCTGTAATGTCCATAATCGTGATCAAAAGACAGACAGGAAAGCCAATATTCCCTGCCATTTTCTGCAGATATGGAGTCTGCAACGAGATGGGTTTTACAAACAGGAGAAACAAGAAACGTTTTATATAAAAATGGATCAAGTCCTGCATGGGAATCGGCATAAAGTGGATTTGCTTTCGCTCTGTAGAGCCAGATTCCTTTCACGGGGAACAAGAAAAGCATTGTGTCACCATTGTCAAAGTGCATATATATTCGCAGCTTATACATATTCCTTGCCTAATGATATTTACACAAGTTATTAAATACAGTTCTGTAAATGTGATTCACAACAAACCTGAGCTGGACTGTTCATGGCATCTTGAGGGTTCGACTGGTGTGGGTTGCCCTTTCAAGTTGGCTGTACTGGGCAATTGGGCATCACAATTCTGCACGGCCATTATGTTAAAAGAGATTGTATGGACTTCTAAAAAAGTTAATTCCTCAACCGTGATAAGAACTAATTTAAGTATCAATTATGAAGCCAAACTTGACTGTAAAAAATGGGTTTCGTGCCATGATTAGTGTTTTTAACTGGAGTAATGCTATTCATTCTTACTGAAGTTACAAACATAATCTAGGTGGCGTTAATGTGAAATTAAATGATATATGAGATTAAAAATAATTTAACCTATCATTTAGAGTCACATAAACTGTGTTTGTAACCCTACTGGGGATGAATAACATTACTCTTTTAACTGGAGTTCAATTGTATTCGATGAAGCTAATAATCAACTTATCGCATTTTCCCCTGTTAGCATGCAAAAGCATGCGATAACTGACTTCATTTTGCTCATGTTTAGGGATTAAAACTTAAATTTAAATTTAAATCAAAGTCAACATTTAATTTTAACCATGGAATCCACAACTTTTGATGAAATATGTTGTTGAAAAGTTGTGAATCTAATAAAATGTATGGTTGGAAATGAGTTTCGAAAAAAAAAAAATTCTAAGAAATGAGGGCCGAACATGGAAATTTAATGGATCATACAAGGATTTTTATTTTATTTTATTTTTGTCCTCTCGTTACTGATTAGCTACTATATAATTATTTGTGGTTGTCTACTTAGCAAGATTCCCATAAATTTAGTTCGTTATGGCTTGCAATTTTGAAGATGTAACATATATAATGAAATAATTATTGTTCATTTGGATATCACGTCGCCATGAAAAGGGTTAGTATGCATGTTTACATGTCATGAAATAGATATCTATGTCTCGAAAATCGAGGTTTTTTGGACCGAAAGATGTCTCGGCAATCAAGACTCAACTAAGCGAAGAATACACATAATTCTAATACTTGGGCACAAACGTGATTGGAGATCTTGGCCATGAAAATGAATCAAATGATTGAAGGCCCTCGAATGCCCTTGGACATGGACAAAAATCTTAATGCAAATTCTGACAAATAAATTTTGAATTTTCGTGCACTAAACCCTTGCATACAAACAATGAAATTTTGTGCTACTCTCACAAAAGTACAAATGTCCATAAGTTTTAGAAATGAGATGTCATAATTTTCAACATAATGACGAAGAATGTCGACTCACAAAAATGATAAAAATGTCTACATAAATTGCTTATAAATAAGCTATTGCACAAGAAAAAAGGGATCTAACTTTTCCACTCCAAGCATCGAAAGATTGAATAATTATTTTTCTTTATAAAAAAGTCTGAAATTGAAAGAATTGGACCTTTCACAAATTGCAAGACTATCTCTAATTGAGAAGCAAATTCCAACAGAAAGACTGTCAAAACATATCTCTTTCTCTTACAAAGATTGGTTTCTAAACGCACCCCCCAAAATCTCCAAAGTAGAGAGAAAACTCTGCCGAAATTCAGGCAGAAAACGTGATTGTTTCGAGGCCTCGATAGCATATTCGGAGGCTGCAAGGCCATAATGGGAGCACCGTGATTGTGCCGGGGCTTCAATCGATCACAAAGAGTTGTATTTGAGTTGTTGAGATGAGAGGATTTGAGATCGATGATAGTACTGTGCATCATCACTTGCTGGCCTCCTCAGTAGCGATGCCGGCCATGGTCCAATAAGTTCATTGGAGATCCCATTGGCCATTGCTTTAAAGCAGCCAGGGGAACCATTTGAAGTTTGTCGAGTGTCTTCTTCCGGTCAATATTTTTCTCGTCACATAGTGGTGGCAATCGAGCCACGAGCCACTCGGGCTCGTCAAAAGACGAGCACGAGTTGAACGGCGGGCTCGCTAGGCAAGCCGAGCCCGGCTTGGCTCGTTTTTTCGTGGGTGAATTCTCATTTGCAAAATACATTAAAAAATAAAGTTCGTTATTTTTATTCTTCTCTCTTTCTCTTGGCATCATCTGTTTCTTTATAGAGCGTCTTCTTGGTTTAATCAAATAGTCACAGTTTGAATCAAACGTCTCCATTGTATTCTGAAAGAGATTTTCTATCATACCTCAGTCGTGATTTTGTTGGATAGGGGAGAAACATTTCTTAAAAGATAATGATTTTCATGCCTTGAATTTCATTAGTTTTTTCAGATTTTCCTACATATTTCCCAACATGTTTCCCTTGTGATTAATCGTGATTAGAGATTCAGAATAGTGGCACTAAATATGATAAAAACAACATGAGTCATATAAATTGACCTCAAAGATATTATTGTAATCAACAGGGAACACAACTTTTCTCACTTATTTAATTGGCCAATCGGCATCTGGATTGTTAGGTATACAAGTAGCAGTGTGTTGTTTAGGTCGTAACGACCCCACCAAATTTTCCTATGTTAATTTCTAAAAACAATATCGAAAGAGGTCCCATATATATAATGGGATACCAAGTTAGTCAGGCAAGAATTGTTTTCACGTTTTACAACTTTTGGTCGTTAGGTTCCTACCCAGGCCTCAAGCCTAACCGTTAAGTGTATACAGTCCGTTTTCGGACTTGTGCCCATATTATCTTTCACGGATTTCTTTTGCATCCTCCAGAATTTGAATTTCAGATATTTAAATTGAATCCTAGTACCAAATATGTATGTTTCTTCCAATTGATGTGTTCATTTATTTCAAGGGGCATACCTGTTCAAATGGTTACCTTCATTTCTATATATTTTGGGCGAATTCTCATTTGCAAAACACATTAAAAAATAAAGTTTGTTAATTCTGTTTTTCTCTCTTTCTTTTGGCATCATCAGTTTCTTTATAGAGTGTCTTCTTGGTTTAATCAAATAGTCACAGTTTGAATCAAACGCTTTCATTGTATTCTGAGAGAGATTTTCTATCATACCCCAGTCGTGACTTTGTTGAATAGGGGAGAAACATCTCTTAAAAGATAACGATTTTCATGTCTTGAAGTTCATTAGTATTTTCAGATTTTCCTACATATTTCCCAATATGTTTCCCTTGTGGTTAATCGTGATTAGAGATTCAGAATAGTGGCACTAAATATGATAAAAACAACATGAGTCATATAAATTGACCTCAAAGATATTATAGTAATCAACAGGGAACGCAACTTTTCTCACTTATTTAATTGGCCAATCGGCATCTGGATTGTTAGGTATACAAGTAGCAGTGTGTTGTTTAGGTCGTAACGACCCCACCAAATTTTCCTTTGTTAATTTCTACAAACAATATCGAAAGAGGTCCCATATATATAATGGGATACCAAGTTAGTTAGGCAAGAATTGTTTTCACGTTTTACAACTTTTGGTCGTTAAGTTCCTACCCAGGCCTCAAGCCTAACTGTTAAGTGTATACAGTCCGTTTTCGGACTTGTGCCCATATTATCTTTCACGGATTTCTTTTGCATCCTCCAGAATTTGAACTTCAGATGTTTAAATTGAATCCTAGTACCAAATAAACAACTTGTCCAATTTGTATCAAAATTCAATTTTAGTCTCTTTTAAGATAGATGTATTGAGTTCGAGTTGTGGGGGATGTGAATGAAATTTGTGAGGGCTAAGATGAGTTCAAGATCTTCCAAAGCATACAATACTTATGATTTAACGTTCAGGTGCATGACCTGAATCGTTACAAAATGATTTGAATGGTTTAAAAATAGGAAAAATCCATTTGTAACTTTTACAATATCTCACATTAGGTTGGTGACCACTAATTAAAGTTACAATCCCCTAATAATTATACATCAAGCATTGTTTTCAAAAATAAAACATAATATAATTGGGTACCTACTTAGGTAGGTGAGAATTAATGGTCTTACATTGTACACACGTTAAGTGCTTATTACCGGTTAGATGAATTATTATGAAAACTGTGCATGCGTCAGCATCTTTCAAAATCTCAAATGCATTAAACTTCTAAGTTTCTAGGTGATTAGCTTTTCATACAAGCCAAAACTTTCATTTTTTTTTCTTAGAGCAAGTAGAATTCATGGCATCTCGAGAAGCAGCCATGTCGAAAACTGCTTGTGTAGTTGGAGGCACTGGTTTCATGGCATCGTTGCTTGTTGAGCTGTTGCTTGAGAAAGGATATTCAGTCAATACGACTGTCCGGGACCCTGGTAAGTCTCATTTTTCGATTTTTTCATTTTTTAGTCTACTTTATTAGGTTAAGCCACTCTAGATGGCAAGCTATATTAATAGCAAAATATATAAAGTACAAATTAAGAGGGGGCTTTGCTTGACCTCTGACTAATTAAAAAAAAAGGGATCACAAGTGAAAATCGAAAAGAAGATACAATACTTTATGGGCATGTTATTTATAGGGTAATTAACATATAATGTCCTCACCTTTCATTGTTATTGTGGAAAACGTTCATACTATTCATTTTTCTTACATTTGCACTCTTATTTCCATATTTCATTGCACAAAAGATCAATTTTTACCTATTTTCTCAATTAAAAATTATGAAATGATGAATATACCCCTCTCTTTAAATAAAAAAAAAAAAGAAAAGGAAAAAAACTAATTGTAACCACAGTCCCAAATTCTTTTAAAAAGCTTAAATAAATCACAAATAAATTATTAAAAGGGTAATTAGTACATAATGTCCCTATCGTTCACTGTTATTGTGAAAAACGTTAATACCTTTTTTTAACATTTTCACCCTTAATTACACATTTGATTGCGTAAACCATTATTTCTATCTAATTTCTCAATAAAAAGTTGTGAAATGACAAATATACCCTTATATTTAAATGAAAAATTAAAGAATTAATTGCAATCATAGTCTCTTTTTTTAAAAAAAAGTGCAAACAAGTCCCCAATAAGTTATTAATTTTTTTTTTTAAAGTGCAAACGAGTCCTAATTAAATTTATTTAAAAATTTTAAAAAATCAAAAAATGTAAACGAGTCCCACATAAATTATTAAAGAATTAGAAATTATAAAAATATTTTTTTATTTAAATAGGAGGGTATATTCGTCATTTCACAACTTTTATTGAGAAATTGGATAGAAATGATGGTTTGCGCAATCAAATATGTAATTAAGGGTGAAAATGTCAAAAAAAAAAAAAAAAGTTAGGGGCTTTTTTATNAAAAAAAAGGTAGGGACGTTTTTCGTAATAATGGTGAAAGATAGATACATTATGTACTAATTACCCTTTTAATAATTTATTTGTGACTTATTTGTGTTTTTTAACAAAATTTGGGACTGTGGTTACGATTAGCCTTTTTCTTTTTGTTTTATTTAAAGAGATGTGTATATTCGTTATTTCATAATTTTTAATTGAGAAAATAGATGAAAATAACTTTTTTCCGCAATGAAGGGTGGAAATAAGGGTGAAAATGCCAAAAACATGAAAAGTAAGGACGTTTTCCAATTGAAAGATGAAGACGTTATGTGCTAATTATTCTAATTTATAAAATAGATGTGGTACAGTGCCGCTTTCATGTTCACTGCTAGATAGTGAACGTCTAAACTTATGGCCATACCCCAAATTTGAAATATCCATTTGCGTCATCTACTTCACCATGGACATAACCAAAGACATCTCCGCATAATTACTCACCTTTGGGCAGAATGGTTCAGTTTTAGGCCTAAACTCATGGCTCGCTCCTTCTGCTTGATATACTTTTGTGCTCAATCTACTCGGTACGGACAATGGATCGCCTTTCTCCTTAAACGTACAATTTCTAATCCCATGCAATCCGTATGGTCATGTATTTATCTCTCACTTTGTCTTTTCACCTGCTCCCACTTCCTTTGTTGACCGAGATTTAATCTTCGTAGAATTTTCCTTCGTGTTCGCATCCCTATCCAAATGTTTCAAATGAGCCCGAATTATTATGACAACCTCAACAATTTATCATGCAGGCTTATGTCCAAATGTCTCATGGTCTGAATGGAGAACATAAAATGAATTAACTCTCAAGAACACATAATTAAAGAGAGATAATAAGTTTTGTACAATATCATAGTAAATTTTCTAAAACAGGTACAACATTTGACCAAACCCAACATTTGCTTTTTCGGTTTTTTCTGCAGGTAATGAGAAAAAGATTTCTCCTCTCTTGGCATTGCAAAGTTTAGGCAACTTGAAGCTTTTTCGAGCAGACTTAACTGATGAAGCAAGCTTAAATGACCCTATAGCAGGCTGTGACATGGTCTTCCATGTCGCAACACCTATTAATTTTGCGTCTGAAGATCCTGAAGTATACGACGCTATTATGATTATAACAATGGCATTATCCTATATTAATGACTTCAAACTAAGGGGGATTTACTGATTTTTTATGCAGAATGATATGATAAAACCAGCAATTGAAGGAGTTATTAATGTAATAAACGCCAGTGCAAAAGCAGGTACTGTCAAACGTGTCATTTTAACCTCATCGGCAGCTACTATCACTATAAATCAGTTTGACGGGAAAGGCCTCGTTATGGATGAGGAAAACTGGAGCGATGATGAGTTTCTTACTTCTAAGAAGCCGCCTACTTGGGTAATTTTCTGAATCTGCTTTCGAATCATTTAATAAATGTTAAACATCCAGACGAGATGGTCTATTAATAAAACTAAAACCCAGCTACGTTTGCAAAATCTTTTCAGGCGTATCCTGTCTCAAAAATACTTGCTGAAAAGACTGCATGGAAACTCGCCAGGGAGAATAACATTGATCTCGTTACCATTATTCCGTCTCTCATGGCTGGTCCTTCTCTTACTGCAGAAATTCCTCCCAGCATCAGCCTTGCCACGTCCTTGATCACAGGTATGAAATATCATCATAAAATTAGAAAAATATATATGATAATATGTATATATGAACATTTTGCAGGAAATGAGTTCCTCATAAACCAATTGAAGGGGATGCAGATGCTTTCAGGTTCAATCTCCCTGACACATGTTGAGGACGTTTGTCGTGCCCATGTATTTATAGCCGAGAAGGAATCAGCTTCTGGTCGATACATTTGCTGTGCTGTCAATACCAGTGTGTGTGAACTAGCGAAATTCTTGAAAAAAAGATATCCCATGTATCAAATCCATACAGAGTAAGTTTACTCGCAAACCATTTATGGTTCGTTTCGTAAATCTGATTGTGTAGTACTCGACACTATTAAAAAAAAATGTTCTTTTGCAGTTTTGGAGAATTCCCTTCTGAAGCCAAGTTAATAATCTCATCAGAAAAGCTTATTAAAGAGGGATTCAGCTTTAAGTATGGGATTGAAGAAATATACGATCAATCTGTGGTTTATTTGAAGGCCAATGGTTTACTACAGAACTGAGTATTTTGTTCTCTTGCAGCTAAAAGCAGTACCTCGTGTACATTTAGGTTATTCTTTAACTTGGGTGTGTGCAATCAAACATTATTATATAGTTACAAGAGAAGTAAGTTGAAACATTTGTATCGTGTCTAAAATGATAAGTTTAGTGGCAGAATATTTGGGGCCTGTTGGTGGAATTTGTTGGAATATTCTAACAATATTTGGGGCCACAAGTAACAAATTAAAATGTGTAGTGCTATTATTTAAAGTATAGTCATTAAAGTGATCCACAAAAGACAAATTTTTGACTAATGGGTATTAAAGTTTCATGGAATTAAAGTGTAGAGACCGGATGTTTGTTTTATATTGTTGAGGGGCCGATTTAAAACAAATGAAAGATAATGAATAGTCATTATCTTATGAATATATAGGTTATGGTCCCCAATTGTTAGTG